GAGGCTGGGCCAAGGCGGGGAGGAGGGCGGGCTGCTCCCGCTCTCGGCAGTTCGCTCCTTGCGTAACGGCGGGGCCATGTGGTCACCTCCTTCGCCAGCAGCTGCCTGGCAGGAGAGAGGGGTCGGAGAGGAAAGCCTGACAGCTATTGCAGGACAAAGTTCGCTTCCATGCAGGCTCCCCTCTCTCGTCTCGGCCATCTTCTTACGCGTGCTTTGGTATTTGCACACCTGCCGGGATCCGGAGGTTTTCCACCTGTAAGACCACAGCGTCCCGGGCTGTGGGGGCCTCGGTGGGCAGCGGAAGACAGGCGAGGACATCGAGCCAGCACTCCCGGGCTTGCTCTTTGTGAGTTTGCGTCCCCGCTGGCTCCAGCCACTGGTAAAAGCTGCAGGGTTTGGACTAGCCCCGAGTTCTTGGTTCTGGGCTGGTTTAACAAAAAGTAAACCAACCCGGTCTCTTACCAATGACTTGTTTTCCAAATCAGTGCAGTGCACTTCTCTTGGGCCAGGCTGGCTGTCTCCGCTTTGTGGGTCCACGATCTTCCAAAGCTTCACACGTGGCTTTTGTTCACAGCTGTTCCCGTGTGGAGCTCTGCGTTGCTTAATTGTGAATGACCAGACCAGTCAAAGGGAAAAGTTTGTATTTCCTAATTGGATTCCTGAGCCAGGGGTTCCCTCACCAACTTCCAGAACTTGATGCAATTTGCCTTTTCCTTCCCCCCCCCCCAGGGAAAAAACAGGGGGCTGGAGGGGTGGGGAGGTGGAGGGCAAGAAGGGAGTTAGTGGGATGCAGCTCTGCATCTTCTTAGAGCACTGGCCCTTGCACCGCAGGAGGAAGTGCAGGGAGTAATTTCGGCACCCCAGTGTGTAACTGCAATAATTTTGCTTCATTTACTCAGATCTACTCATTTCACCTCTTGGTCCCTGCACTATGAACAGACTATCTGGATAAAACCCGTGCGTGTGTCAAATTAAGCATTGCAACCTGTGCGTTCCTGAAATCGCGGTGAACGCTGTGTCTAGAAGTTGACTTTTCAAGCCTCTGTGCTAATTGTGTCACGCTGTCATTCAGTTAGGGAAGGTGCTGGGGACAGAGGAAATTAAAGCAGCGATCAAATGATGTAAAAGAGTGGTTTGCCCTTAACAGACTGGAGGGCGAAACCAAAATGGAAACCATCGTTGGCTGTTTATAAATACCTACCTACAAAGCTCGTTGCGTGTTTTTGGTTTCGGTAAGGATGTCCTGTTTTCTGTGAGCATGGTAGCTCCATGCTCAAGGGCCAGAAAGGTTCCCCGGAGCTATCACATCTGCCCGCTTAATTCCTTTCACTTCTGTTTATGCAATGAATAAACACGACTCTGGCAGGAGACCTGGGCCGTCAAATGGAAACCCCTGTGCCGGGGGGAGGAGGGGGCCCGCCAGAGCTGCAGTAGCAAGAAAGATTTTCAGCT